TGCTGTTCTGTTAAATTTTGCTATTCTTACTGGGGTGAGATGATATCTCATAGTTGTTTTGATTTACATCTCTCTTAGAGCTAGGGACTTTGAACATTTCTTCATGTGTTTGTTGGCCACCTGAATGTCTTCTTCGGTGAAGTGGCTGTTCATATCTTCTGTCCATTTCCCAACTGGATTATTTACCTTTATCTTATTGTGGTGTTCAAGTATTTTATAAATTCCAGATATAAGTCTCTTATCTGACATGTCATTACCAAATACTTTTTCCCAGTCTGTGGCTTCCAAAAGGTTAGTAGTTTTAATCCACCAGTCACTCTGAAGTAGAAAGATGGGCAATCTCCTCCCATAATGATATAAGACCTCAGAAACTCAATAGAGGGAGGGTCACTATGAGTCTGAATACACTGCATGGACGTGGGTTTGTTTTGGTTCAGTGAATTAAAAAAAAAGAGACTGGTTTTCTCTCAAGGGATGATAAGGGGCAGGAAATACTAGGGTATTAGATATATTTTAAGGATCTTTCATAATTTTGTCATAGGTTAAAATGGATTTTAAGAGACCCTCCTTTTTCTTCCATTGGTATTATATTTATGATTTTGCCTCTTAGACAACAAAAACATTTAAAAAATGTTACAAATTTTAAAATAGTGGCAAATATGTTAGTCAATGAAGAGTTGGAATCTTTGAATTGTTACTGATCTGTATTGAGGAAAGCTGGGAATTAAGAGAACATGGGTAGAAAATTTCCTAACAGTGTGACATTACTGTTACATTCAAGGGAGTGGTTGGTAGCCTGGTCTTGTAGGATGGAATGTAGACTGATTTGAGCATGGTCAGTTCTGGTGAGTCGCCAGGTACATGCACCTCTACCTATCTAGTAGGCAGAGGCAAAGGATATTGCCAAGAAGGCAGTTGTTGTTATGTAACATTGAATCAGAAGTGACTCATAGCTGACCCTCCAGCAGGTTTTCGGAGCCAGTTAATCACAAGAGAAGAGTTTGCCTGCCTTTCTCCCTTGTGGATTAGGACAGCCTGACTTGGAGTTGGCAGGGCAACTCTTTACCCACGAGGCCACCAGCACTCCCTGCTGACAAGGCAGAGAGGGGCACATGGAGCAGGGAGCCCAGGGAGGAGGTGTGAAGAGTACTGCTCCGTTCAGGGGATTATAACTAATGTCATGAAACAAAATGTGTATAATCTGTGGCATGGGAAACTAATTTTCTCTGTAAACTTTCACAATAAAAATTGTTACTGGACTGAAGCACAATGAAATGTTTAAAAAAGGAAGAAAAAATTTTTAAAAAATGGGTGGAAGGAATACTGCTGAACTTTTTACTATATACAAGAGAGCCTCTCACAATAAAGTTTAAAAAATGTCAGCACCAAGGCTTAGAAGCCCTGCTGTTAGACGAAGTTAGAGTTTTTAAAAGATCTTTTAATGAGTGAGCTTAATTTTATATATATGTTGGGCTACCTTTTACGTTCATGACATTTAATAAGTCCAGATAGTGCCACACATTAAAAAAAAGGTGAATTAGTGAAAAGCAGAGCTGGAGTTAGGCTGGTTCAGGGCTTGTCCCGTATTTGTTACATTTAGATACGGAATCAAGTTTTGATTCTGGTTTATATACCCAGACTCATTACTAGGATCTGATCATTTTATGGCATGTTACAGTAGAGGAATTGTTATGAGAAGAACAGAATGTGAAGCTTAATTGAGACAATTTCCTTTCTTCCACAGTATCTCTGATCCTTGCATTCTTGGTTGCTTGTTTTGGATCGGTTTGTTGGCCTTGGTAGAAAGGCAAGTTCTTTCGTCTGGATTAGCAGACTGTAACCTAGTCCCACCTGAATTTCAGAATCATCTCAGGAACAGGTTTGAAGCCTTGAACAC